GCGCTGGACAGCAGGCGCCCAGGAGGCTCAGTGGCTCTGCTGGGGGTCTCTGGAGGGCTGCAGTCATCGCGAGTGTCCACTCATGGCTGCCTGTGGGCCACGGCCCTCACGGAGGCTGGATGGACAGCCTCCGTCCCCCACTCAGCGAGCAGCCGCGTCTTGACATCTCCCTCGGAGCTCAGAACACCCGAGAGCGACAGCAGGGCAGACGTCACGGCTGTGACGTGGCTAGAAGACCCCACCCCCCGCCGTGTTTGTGCAGCAGCCGTCAGTCACATGGGGGCAGGGCTGGCGTGGCGTCTGCCCACGAGGGGGCCACCTCAGAAGTGACACCAGCCTGCGCTCACCCTTCCTGCAAGGACGCCAGGCACGTGGGACAGGCACTTGCGTGGACCCACGGCCTCGACGTGCGTCTCCCGTTCATCCTCGCTCCGTTTTGGGTGGGGTCTGTGGGAGGCTCGTTCTGCCCTGTCTCAAGGAAGATCCCTCCCGGTGCTGTGCCGCGGGGCAGGTGAGGACACGCACGGTCTGCCCTGTGTGAGCGCCGGACGCTGGCACCTGGGGGTGGGGGCTCTTATGCTCGTGCTCTGACCGGTTCTCCCATGGCCAGGCTTCTGGGTACACTCGCCTCCACCCTCCAGGGCCGTCAGGGGGCTCACCCCTCTCCCTCCCCCCCCAACCCACCCCCTTCCTTCCCTCACGTCTGGTGACCACCACGCCGGTACCACCTGCTACATCCTGTGTTCTCGGCTGCTTGTGACAGCAGGGAGTCTGTCCCTGGGCTCTGTCATGGCCAGAGCGTGCCCAGTGCATCCAGGGTCACGGGCCCTCCAGGCAGGCCCCACAAGCATCCACTCCAGGGCAGGAGCCGAGTGCCGGGAGCCTCAGAGCTCACAAGAGGAACAGCCAGGGCTTGGGCCATCGGCGTCAGGGTCCCCCCTCAATCCCTGGTGCCCCGTTGCATGTCGGGGGTCCCGCCTCACTCCCTAGCGTGTGTCTGGCTGGACGGTCAGCAGGAAAGGCAGCTCCTCTCGTTCCTGCACTGGACTTGGAGCCAGCGGTGGGGGTGGTGTGCGGCCCCTTTTACCCACGCAGTGGCTGGGGTCCCCGGAGGAGGAGGACTCGCCCAGGCGCCCCCAGAGCACCGGCGCCCAGGCCAAGGCGAGGCTGTGCTGGGCTCTCCCTCCCCTCGGCAGACAGCACGCGAGGCTGAGGCAGGCTGCTGGTCCTGCCTGCTCACGCGTGGCTCTGTGTGCTGTGTGCCCACCCGAGCACTGGCGCCAAGCCCAGGGCCTCCCCCGGCCTCTGGCCTGCCACACCCTGCTCCACATCCCTGCCTGCGTGGGGGCTGAGACCGGCTGCGTGCGGCTGCAGGGACAGCTGCGTGCGGCTCAGGGAGGGAGCGGCACAGATAGAATAATAATGGTAATAATTGACAGTTTCAGATGCGCCTGGGAGGTGGGGGCTGGCCGTGCCCCCTGCAGGCCGCCGTGCAGGGACGGGCTGGAACACACTGCACCACGGGCAGGGGTGCTATTTTCCCCGTACTGGACACACACCGTTGCCAGCTTCCGCCCTGGACAGGCGTGGCCTCTGCAGCCGCACGGAGCTCACTGGTTCCAGGTCTTTGGCGAGTTGGCGGCTTCCTTCCTTTTCATTGCCTTGCTGTGCCAGCCAGGGCTCCTGGTGCTGGTAGGAGCGGAGAGACAGACACCCTTACCCTGCCCGGGCCAGTCTCCTGCAGGCGCCCGCAGCTGGGGCTGCCGCCCGGGTCCCCGCCCTCCGAGAGCCTTCTGCACGATGGTGTTGGTGCTGTGTCCCCCAGCGGGTTGACCTGCTGGGTCCGAGCTGGACCTCACACCCCGAGCCGTCCCGGTTGTATGGGGGGCCTCTCTGAGGGTGGGGCTGACCCGCGTTCCTGGCGGGGACCAGGGATCGGTCGTTGCCTGGCTGTGTGTTCTGTAAAACCGTCCGGACTGCAGAGTGCTTGAGATTTTGGGTGTGACATCGGCTTCTTTTGGGGCTTTGGCTGGTTCTGTTTGTTCGTGTTTTTCAAGGAATCTGCCAACGGCGCGTTGAGCACAGGTCACGGCTCCGGGACTCTGTCCGTCCCACGAGGACCCGCGGTTTCCACGGCCGTTAGACAAAGAGGCTCGGGCGCAGTTCCGGTCTGCAGTGTCACTCTCGGGCATCCTGCCTCAGTGCCGGGGGGGTCCCCCCAGCCCTGCAGTGCCCTCACACGGCCCCCCCCAGCCCTGCAGTGCCCTCACACGGCCCCTCCCCAGCCCTGCAGTGCCCTCACACGGCCCCTCCCCAGCCCTGCAGTGCCCTCACACGCCCCCTCCCCAGCCCTGCAGTGCCCTCACACGTCCCCCCCCAGCCCTGCAGTGCCCTCACACGCCCCCCCCAGCCCTGCAGTGCCCTCCCACGTCCCCTCCCCAGCCCTGAAGTGCCCTCACACGTCCCCCCCCAGCCCTGCAGTGCCCTCACACGCCCCCCCCAGCCCTGCAGTGCCCTTACACGGCCCCTCCCCCAGCCCTGCAGTGCCCTCACACGGCCCCTCCCCCAGCCCTGCAGTGCCCTCACACGGCCCCCCCCAGCCCTGCAGTGCCCTCACACGCCCCCCCAGCCCTGCAGTGCCCTCACACGCCCCCCCCAGCCCTGCAGTGCCCTCACACGGCCCCTCCCCCAGGTTACAGTGTTCACATCCACTCCGTTCTGTGGCCCCGTGGTCCCCCCCGCTGCCATGCGTCCGTGCGTTTCAGGAGTTTCCGTGTCCCCCAGCCAAGCACAGCTGCCGTCCTGACCCACTCGGCTCGGCTCCTCGGGTTCCAGGCTCCGGCCCGGAGTCAGCTCCGGCACTGCCACTCCGGACTGCCAGCACGTGGCGATGGTGTGCTCGGGCTTCCTGGGCGTTCATCGCTTGGCGTGTCTTCACTCTGCTGTGGGGTCCCCAGGCTGCACTGGGGATGAGCTGTGGATGGCTCCCCCTCCGCGAGGGGCTCTTGGGCCCTTCAGGAGCGGGGCGGGGGGGTGGGTGCAGAGGGTGTCACCTGGGGGCAGCGTCAGCCCCTTGGCCACACGAGCACCATGAAGCACCCGCCGTCTGCATCAGCTGGGACCGTGCCACGCACAGCTTGTGGACTCCCTGGTGGAACCATGGGTGCCGGGCGTGGGCTCGGTGTATCCTGTCCAGTGGCCTCACAGCAGAGCTGGGAGAGGAGCCAGCACCTGCCTGACCACTGTCACTGCTGTCGGGGCGGAGGGGGAGTGGACGCCACGCGGCTGCCCGCCCCGCCACGCTGAGGGGGCAGGAGGACAGACCACAGGCAGCCCCTCGCCAACAGCCCCAATCACGGTGACGAGCGAGGTGCCTGGGGCCCAGGTGGCGCGTGAGCACAGTGGGTCGGCGACCTCACTCAGCCCGCACTGGGCGCCGCTGCCACAGCGCCCGGGCAGAGCAAGGGGCTGGGGCGTGGCTGAGCCTGCAGGGCCTGCCAGGCTCCCGGGCTGCCTTTGTGGGGTCTGACAGGACCACGGCACCCACGGCCTGCACACAGCACGGAGTGCCCGGCCAGCGGGGTGTGGCCCCCATGGGGGCAGCAGGGCTGACAGCCCAGGGCCCCAGGACCACAACCAGGGCCACGTGGTTCCCTGCGCTGCCTGCCCGCGTCCCCCCTCCCCAAGCACTGCCTCAGCGTCGGCCCGCTGACATTTAGGGGAAAACATTCAGAGTCAAGAGCAGGAGGCATAAACGGAAGGATTTTCTTGGGAAAAGGTCAGAGCGGTTTCCCTTCTTGTTGTTTAGAACGGCTTGTGCTGCCTGTGACAAGGCCAAGCGTGCTGATGGCAGGGGCCGTGTGCAGAAGCCGACAAGGCAGGTGCGCCTTGGCTGCCCCGGCCCCCACAGGTCCCCGGGCAGGAGTAGCCTTGTTAAAAAATGCACTCTCACGCCACAGCGCATGGCCCCTGCAGCCGACCCACGCCTCCAGGGCACGGCTCAACAGGCCCTGCAGCAGACCCACGCCTCCCCAGGGCACAGCTCACAGGCCCTGTGGCCGACCCACGCCTCCCCAGGGCACTGCTCACACGGGCCCTGCGGCCGACCCACGCCTCCCCAGGGCACGGCTCACTCAGGCGGGGGTCGCTGTCTGTTGGCCGGGCCCATCCCTCTTCCTGGCAGAGCCCTTTAGCCGTGGTGGCCGCACCCACCCTTGGTGGGGACAAAGCACAGTGCTGGGGACTTTGCCCTGGGAGCCTCAGCGGCAGGACCACGGGGTCACGGGGCGACTGCCGAGTGCCACGCACCTGCTGGGCCTGGGCCTGCAGTCCCCCGTGCCCGCCGGCCCGGGCTCTGGCCTCACCACAGCCCCTGGGGTGAGTGACGGTCACTGCGTGTGACAGCAGCGTGCACACAAGCCCACGGGCCGTTCTGCTGGCCTGACTCGTGGAGTCCTTCACAGGAGAGCTGCTGCAAGTGGGGGACAGGGCCCCCAGCACCTGGGGGCTTGGGGGGTCAGCCAGAGGCTCTCCCAGTCAAACCTGCCTGAGCAGGGTGGCCCTGGCTCTCCGTGGGCCACACCCCTCCATGGGACAGCCAGTGTGGGCCCAGGTGGTCCTCCCCGCACTGGGCTGTCCCAGCCAGCCCTAGCGTCCCCGCTCTGAAGGGCTCCCCCCAAGCCCAGCCTCAGTCTCCCATTCATACCTGAGGGGTCCTGCTCCGGGCCCTGCTGTCCCAGCCGGGACCTCGCCCCAGGGCAGGAGGGTGGTGTGCGCATAAGGAAGGGGTGGGGGGTCTGCATCCAGCGAGAGATGGAGGCTGAGGCCGAGAGTAGTCCTCAGTGCCCAGCAGAGGAGACTGTGGGCGGGGGACGGGGTTGGCAGACAGGGCCGCCCGGCAGGAGAGGCAGACGGGACTCCAGGGCAGCCCCTCCCCGCGCAGAGCTGGGCCCCGAGGGAGGGCCGCGCCCAGCCACCCCCTGTGCTCCTGTGTCCCGCAGGCCACGGGCCCCTCGGGCTCCCAGATGCAGCTGCTGGAGACGGAGTTCTCGCGCTCCGTGCCGGAGCTCATCGAGCTGCACCTGGCGCAGCAGGACAGCATCCCCGCCTTCCTCAGCTCCCTGACCCTCGAGCTCTTCAGCCGCCAGACCGTGGCGTAGCCGGCTCTGCCCGGCCGTGTCCAGGCCTGGGGCGCCGGCGCTGTCCAGGACGGCCGCGCTCGCCGCCCCAGCCACCTCCCCCGCATCCTGCCTGTCTGCCCCGAGGACCCCACAGGACCCCACACCGCTCGGAACCCGGGCGCCCCCAGAGCCGGCCCCACCCCCACCTACGGAATAAAGTTTTGTTCTCCAGCCACCTCCGCCTCCTCGCCGTGCGTCTCAGGCCCAGGGCACCCGGGAGGACAGGGCGAGCGGTCAGCACAGTCCTGTCCCGGTCCTTGCCCCCGACATGCACACAGACCCCAGCCATGTGACTGCAGGCCACAGGACTCGGCCGTCCCTGGGCCCTTGGTCTCCTCGAGGCTCCGGCTCCAGGTGCACCTGCCTGCTCCTGCAGTGCCCGGTGACGGGGCGTCCCTGTCCCTGGAAGAGGCAGGGCGGGGCCCAGCCGCTGTCCCCCACAATGCCCCTCGCATGACCCTGTGCTCTGGTGTCCTCCCCCTGCACCTGCAGGGGGGAAGGAGGAGGTGTCGGGAGGCGGGCGTGGGACGTGCAGGCAGGCCCTGAGCATGCGCCAACGCCCGCGGCTTCTCACGCCACTGCTGGCCACTTCCCAGGGCTGCAGCAGCTCCCCCGGCCCGGGAGGGCAGCGCCACCTCCCCCACAGCGTCCCACCCAGGGTGGCCAACGCCGACCCCAGCCCTGTCCAGCCACTCGCTCCCCGGTGTGGCCTGGGGCTCGCAGGGTCTGAGGAGACCCCCGACGCCTCGGGCACCCACTCAGATCTGCCAGGCTCTCCCCTGGCTGAACCTTCCCAGCATGCCCCGCTCGGTCCTCCCGGGCCAACCTCCAAGTCCAGCCTGGCCCAGCGGGGTTGGGGACGGCCTGGGGTGACTGAGGCCCAGGTGCCTGCCATGTAGGGCAGCACCCACGGGAGTGTGTGCACACGTGTGCATGTGTGTGCCTTGTATGGGTACGCACATGCCTGTGCTCATGAGCGCCTGTACATGTGCATGGGCACGTGTGGTCATGTGTGCACGTGTGTGCATCCATGCTCCCTCTGTGAGAACAGGCTGTTGAGGCTTCCGCCCCCGCCCAGAGAGGGGGGTCCCTGCTGAAGTCACACAGCAGGGGGCCGGCCCGCCTCACTCTTCAACCTCTGCACATTTGTGAAGTTAGCACCAAGCCTTCCGGGGGGCCAATACAGGCCCCTCCCCCAGCCTGTACCTGCCCCCCACAGCAGACACCCCACCCTCACCCTGCGCCTGCCCCCCAGCAGACGCCCCTCCCCCACGAGCTGCCCTCCCAGGCCAAGTCCTGACCCCTGGGCTGAGGCGGGGCCTGTGAGGTGGTGGCCCAGTGCAGCCTCGCTGGGACGCAGACACAGCGGGCAGCCACGCCCACGCCTCCGCCTCAGGAAGTGAACTGGGGGGCGGGGGCTCACCCCTCACCCGGCCCTCTAAGCGCTGCACTGCCCTTCCCGGCGTGGTTTAGGGACGGGCACTGACCAGACACGAATACCCGGCAAACGACACGCGCAACCTGCTGTGTCCTAGCAGCCGCTGAGGCCAGAGTTCACGCCTTGCACCTGACCGGAAGCCGCGTTCCTATCGGCTCCACGCGGCTGGCAGAAGTGGAGGGAGACGCTTCTGGCTCGGGTCTCCCCGTCTCCCCCTCTGGCCTGGGCCAGGAGGGAGGGGCCTCGCCCTGGCTGTGGGGTCCAGGCTGTGTGCACCCAGGGCTGGCAAACCGCGTCCCCACTTCACCAGCAGGAAAACCAGAACCCGAGAGAAACCAGCGTCCCCAGCGCCTGGGAGGCGGCCGCAGAGTCCAGCCAGGCCCCTCCCCGTCGGGGGAAGGGGCGGAGTTAACGCCGGCCTGCAGAGCTCCGGGCACCAGAGCCAAGCAGCCGGCAGCCGCGGGAGTCTCCGCTCTGGAGCAGGGGCGGGCGGGAGCGGCAGGAAGGTGTGCCGGCGTAACACTGTAATTAGCCCAATTACCAGCACCCGCCGCGCCGCCTTTTTTTTTTTAACTTAAAATGTAAATTAAATTTTGCACCGGGTTTACAGGCTGTTAACGAAATTCACTAATCAAACCCCAACACCAAGTCCTTGAAAACGAGAATTAAAAGGTCTGCATTTGCATATTCATGTTTTTAATCGGGTTCAGAAGGTGTGTGTGCAGCTGATGAGAGGGATTAATTAACCCTAATCTGCGGGAGGGGCAGTTAACCCCGTGTGCACCGGCCGGATCCAGAGGCCCCCGTGGCGGGGGGGGAGGGGCTTCTCTGGGTGGGGCTGAGCCACACCTGCCGCAGGTGCACCTGTGGGGGATTTCACCACAGAGAAGCCCCCCTGCGGGAGGGGCATTCAGAGAGCACCCAGGGACCCCGGAGCACACGCAGGGGCATCCCGGAGCCACCTGTGCTCCTGGCCTCTCCCCGGTATGTGCTGTGCCATGGCTACACGTGTGTGCACGTGCTCACATGTGCTCCCAGACGTGCCTGCCATGCATGCCAGGTGCGCTCTCGGCAGCAGCCCCACCCAGCTCAGCCCTGCCACGGACATCACGTGGGAGCACCGGTGTGGGAGTGCCCTCACCGCCCAGCACCCGGGGGCAGGGCCACTGTCACTTCCTCCCCGCCACACACACATGCTGGAACATGTGACACATGGAGGCGAGTACATGCGTGTACACTGAGGTGACTGTGCACACAGGGTCACCGACAAGACGCATGTGATAAGCATGTTACGGGGTGAGTACACGAGGTGTGCACATACGTGTGCAATGCGACATGTGCTCAGGTGTGCATACAACCTGCCCATAGCGCAGCTGGGTGGTCCACAGACCCCTCGCAGGCAGCCCCATCCCGGCTCACAGGCGTGTGCACAAAGGTGCCCCAGTACCCGTGTCTGCAGAGACTCATGCAGATACAGGGCAGTGCATGCGTCAGTCGTGAGTGGGGACCACGGGGACCACGAGGCTGACAGAGCTGCGCCCTCTGCCACCACCCAGACCCTGGACACAGCAAAATCCACAGCCTGGGTCCACCAGGCACGGGTCACGTCCACACCATCATGGGGCCCAGCACCGTGGGCCAGGTCAGCTGTGCACACACAGCTAATGGGGGTGAGTCCAGCTCTCTGCTGTGGCCCGGGAGGGCAGTGGAGGATGGCCCAGGTACTTGGGTCCCTGCACCCGCATGGGAGACTGGGAAGAAGCACCTGGCTTCTGGCTTCAGATCGGCACAGCGCCGGCCGTAGCGGCCATTAGAGGAGTGACCCAATGGAAGGAAGACCTCTCTGTCTCTCCCTCTCACTGTCTATAACTACCTGTCAAATAAAAAAAAAAAGTGGAGAGAGCATGTAGTCTCAGGGAAGAGTTAGGGAGGAAACGGCAGAGGAAAGTACTGAAATTAGAGGGTCACAGAGGACCTACGTGGACGGCATGGACACCTACAACTTGGGACTCCAGCAGCCGAGAGCCTACACACCAGCGTTGGAAAGTGAGGTGAGATCGGACCGCAGCAGCCCAAGCCACTGGCGATAAAGCTGCAGGAAGAGCCTACAGGGAACCCGGCTTGGAGCCCCGTGGGGGAGAGTGTACCCACCAAACCAGAGGGGAAGGAACAAAGGGCGGACTTGCTTCTCTCTCCCCAGTCTGCAACAGTGTCCAGTAACAGGCCGATAGAGTGGGCACCATTTTGGACACACATAACAGCTGCGACAGCCCATGTCCATGCCCAGCAACCAGCCTAGCGAAGACTCCCGAGTCTGGTGGGAAGAACAGACAGAGGACAGGGGCTGGGTGCTGTGACTGGGGGAGGCTCGGGTGCCGGGTGCTGGTGATGGTGATGGGGAGGCTCATGTGCTGGGTGCTGTGACTGAGGGAGGCTCGTGTGCTGGGTGCTATGACTGGGGGAGGCGCGTGTGCTGGGTGCTGTGACTGGGGGAGGCTCGTGTGCCGGGTGCTGGTGACTGGGGGAGGCTCGTGTGCTGGGTGCTATGACTGGGGGAGGCGCGTGTGCTGGGTGCTGTGACTGGGGGAGGCTGGGTGCTGGGTGCTGATGATGGGGAGGCTTGGGTGCTGGGACTGTGAACACACTGAGGTGGCCTGGGAGGTCTCGGGTGTGGGTGGGACACTGGGCAGTCACTGTGGGAGGCTCCACACACTCAGGGCTCCCTGGTCACCTGGTGAGGGACACTGTTGGGGAATCTGAGCTCACACTGAGGACTGCACAGATTCTTTGTGGGCTCCTTGAGACAGAGTGGACGAATATCATACCCACTGGGCTGACGCCCAGGAATGGTCTCCACTGAGGAGAGGAGCTCAGCTGAGCAGAATAAATTTCTATTCTGATTTTTTAAAAAGGGGCCAGCACTGTGGCACAGTAGGTTAATCCTCCGCCCACTGTGCTGGCATCCCATATGGGCACCAGTTCATGTCCCAGCTGCTCCACTTCCGATCCAGCTCTCTGCTGTGGCCTGGGAGGCAGTGGAGGATGGCCTGGGTTCTTGGGGCCCTGCACCCACATGGGAGAACTGGAAGAAACTCCTGGCTTTGGATCAGTGCAGCTCCAGCTGTTGCGGCCATTTGGGGAGTGAACCAGCGGATGGAAGACCAACCTCTCTCTCTCTCTGCCTTTCACTGCCTGTAATTTTACCTCTCAAATAAATAAATAAAATCTTTAAAAAAAAAAAAAAAAGACAAGATTTACCAGACCCAACCTGGGTCTGTCAGCTTAGGCACACCCTTCACCCTGGATTCCTGAACAGAGCTCCTGGGCACGCCCCCCACAGCCTGGAGGGTCACTGAGAGCAGTCAGTGCACTAATCTACAGGGGCACAGTGCAAAGATGAAGACAAAACAAACAAAAACCACAGCAAAAAAAAAAAAAAGCAAAGGAAAAAAAAACAAGAAGTGTATCCATAAATGCTGAATAACAAGTGAACCAATTCAAGAAACAACAATAAAGAAGACAAGATGACGCCCCCAAAAGAACACAACACCTCAATACTAGATTGTGAAGATGACGAGATGGACGAAAGGCCAGAAATGGAATTTAAAACATTGACCATAAGAGTGCATAGAAGTCATCAGAAGCAAATGCATGAACGAATGAAATCCATACAGGACCTGAAGAAAATGCCTCCCATGAAATTGAGATCTTAAAGGGAAAGCAAAATGAAACCGTGG